TATCTTTTCTCTCACCATCTCAGTTTTTGCTCCAAAGTCTCCACACATTGCCAAGTGAACTCTGGGGGACAAAATGGTCCTAGTTGAGAACTCTCACCCATGGGAATATCTCAGGAAGATAAACTCCATTGGATAGTGGATAGTGAGGGTTAAATTAAAATAGTTCATATCCTGAAATAAGTTTCTGGAATGGGAATAAAGTATGAGATTAAGTTGAATATTGCTATTGTTGTTGCAGTTGATTCATACTTAAATTAATTTCAAACAAAAAATTTATAATCAGCGCACCCACCTGCTCATTCTTCACGGGGTAGCATGGGCTGAACTATGAGACTCTTGTTGGGAAACCTTAGTCCATTCAACTTACAGCCCCGGTCTTATGCTTTTAAAATTCTCTTTTGTTCCCCAAATATAAAGGACATTGAAAAGGAATGTGAATTTAGCCCTTCAAGAATGACAAAACTTTTCTTACATGGCGTTAGATCGAAGAGTGCTTAATTCTTTAGAGAGGTGTTAAAGAGATGGAATCATACCTTCAGCAGTGTATAAACCTAGATTGAGGATGTGCTGAGAAACAGTAGCTTCACATTTTGATATTTTTTAAAAGTGATTTTTATGAGTTTTATAGCAATCTGTTTTGAGTTATTCTTGTATGCTATAGTAGGTGCTAATTCATTTAGTAAAGCAGGGTGGATTGAATGATTGCGGTACCAGTGGGTTAAAAACTCTGGAAAAGATATTGAATAGATAAATTGTGTTCAGAGAAAAAAAGAGGGTCAGGTTTGAAGCAATATGGTCATGTTGTAGATGTCTTTCTTAAAAAAAGTTTCGTTGGCATATAATTCCCATATCATACAATTCAATATAGTTGAAATATATTGAGAAGAGCTATACAAATCATCACCACAATCAATTTCAGGACATTATATTCTCCTCATACTCATTTTTATTTGCTCTCCATGTAATCCCCTGGCATCCGTTCCTCATTTTCCCCCTCCCTCCCCACTTCCCCCTCCCTTATTAGCACTTGATAATTTATAAATTATTATTTTGTCATATATTACACTGTCTGACATCTCCCTTCACCCATTTTTCTGTTGTCGGTCCCCCAGGGAGGAGGTTATATGTAGATCCCTGTAATCGGTTCCCCCTCTCCACCCCACCCTCCTTCCACCCTCGCAGAATTGCCACTCACACCACTGGTCCTGAAGGGATCATCCGTCCTGGATTCCCTGTGTTTCCACTTCCTATCTGTACCAGTGTACATCCTCGGGTCTAGCCAGATTTGTAAGGTAGAATTGGGATCATGATAGTGGGGGGGGGGGGGGCCGAGAAAGGAAGCATTTAGGAACTGGAAAGTTGCATGTTTCACTGTTGCTACACTGAACTCTGCCTGGCTTGTCTCCTCCCCACAACTCTTCCAGTTGCCTTCAGATGGGCTTTCGGTCTCCACTCCGCACTCTCCCCCTCATTCACAATCGTATGATTTTTTTGTTCTTTGATGCCTGATACCTCATCCTTTCGACACCTTGTTATCACACAGGATGGTGTGCTTCTTCCATGTGGGCTTTGTTGCTTCTCAGCTTGATGTCCACTTGTTTACCTTCAAGCCTTTAAGACCCTAGACACTATATCTTTTGATAGCCGGGCACCATCAACTTTCTTCACCACATTTGCTTATGCACCCATTTGTCTTCAGTGATCATAACGGGAGGTGAGCACACAATGATACAATTTTTTGTTCTTTGATGCCTGATAACTGATCCAGGGATATCATATATGAAAGAAAAAGGTTGTCAGCAGTTTAGGAGAATGAGCATATGTGAATTCTTGAAACTGTTCCTCAGGTCACTTTATATTTGCATATTCTTTAAATACTGATATTCTTCAAGGTTCTATTGTAGGGCTTGATTTCTTTTTACTAGTTTCGAAGGTTACTTAGTGCTTTCTGTATGGTGCATGATGAGTGGTTGTATTTAAATAGTTTGGGACAAAAAGTCTTACAGACCTTGAGCTCCTATCACTGCTATCACGGGTACTAGTTGATCTCTTTTATGCTGAGGCCTTCAATTACAGCCCATGTATGGTTAGAAGATTCGGTCTATGTCAGTAGTCTAGCTCTTTTCCCTGAGTTCCAGGTTTATAGAATCCTGTACTGGACCAGGTGTCTGGGGTATCAAATACTCACTCAAGCTCACTGCCATGGAGTTGAATCCAAATCATAGTAACCCTGCAGGATAGGTTAGGACTGCCCTCTGTGGATGGGGACTGTTAACTCTTCACAGGAGTGGAAAGCTTCACCATCTTCCTCAGAACAGCTGGTGGTTTCGAACTGCTAACCTTTCTGTTAGCAGCCCAACAAACAACTACTATGCCACCAGGGCTCCTTGGGGTGTCAAATAGGCACTTTAAATTCAACCTTCACAATATTGAACTTGTTTCTCCCAAACTATATATACTTCTTTCTCTCCCAGTAACTTCATTCTAATGAGTTTATTTACTTAGTGAATATTTTCCACAGCTACATCTTGCCAGGCACTATGCTAATAAGGATGTGTATGGACTGAGCTTAATAGATGTAGTGGTTCCTTCTGGAGTTTACCTTCTCTGTCCCTCAAATCCATTCATTGACCAAGTCCTATTGACCTAGTCCTCAGTATCACTCTCAGTTGTACTGTCTTAATTTTTATTATGCTTCTTCATGTGGGTTTAGGATACAAAACTTCCTAAAACTCATTGAAACTAAACCATTTGTAATAATTAAGACAATATGTGCATCACTTCCCTACTTAAAATTTATCAATAGTTCACCATGGTTCCCAGATAAGGGGTTATAAAAATCAATCTAGTTGCATAAGGCAGAAAAATGTTAGAATCTAGAACTTGCATTGATTGAATAAATGCGGCAATAAGGTGGTAAACTTTCTAATGATTTGGCATGGAAACAAGCTAACATCAACCATGAAAAAGAATTAAAAGGTACTTATATGTATGCCATGTGAGTCTATAATCTTAGCGAAAGCACGGAGTATACAAATGTTTGTCACCTTGACCATATTGACATTTTGGACTGAATATTCTTCATTGCGTGTGGCTTATGCATTGTAGGGTACTTAGCAGCCTCTAAAGTGGCATCTTCCCAGGGGTGACAAACAAAAGTGTCTCCTGACATCGCCAAATGCTTCCTGAGGGACAAAATTGCCCTTGGGTGAGAACCACTGGTTAAACTCTATGAAATGTTAGGCAAAAGAGAAAAGAAAATCAATGTTAATTATTAAGTAAGATGAAAATTACATGGACATTTTCATCAGTATTTTATCTAATGAGAACTTTAGAACAAATTTATTTGTTGGAAAATAGGTTCTGTACTAGTACTTGGTTCTTTGAAACAAACCATTTTTTATAAAGTCTAAGGAGAGAGTATAAAACACTGTTATGGATTCTAATAACAAGTATGCTAAGGCTTCAAGTTCTCCAAAAATAAAGCGAATAATAATGTCACTGAATTGTATATGCAGAGACTTACATTGCTGTATGTTGTATATGCACTCTTTAACCAACCACAATAAAAATTAAAAAGGGATAATTAATGGAAAAGGTCCCCACCAGGGGGGGGGCATCTATGTAGTGCGAGACTCATAAGATACAATGATCGTTCATGTGTACCTCCCTCTGTAGAACTGTACCCTCTTTTCCAACTTCCTATTCTATGTTGCAGGGCTACTGAACCTAGATATAATTCCCCAACCCTATTACGCCCTCCTATTACTATGCAGTTATATATAATACATTCTCTGCTGGAACACTTTCCTACTTTCTTCTTTCAGGCCCTTTCGACCACCAACACACATACATGCACCCTTTGTCATTAACTTTCATTGTAAATGTAATTTACTTGGATAAGCCAGAGCCAGCTGTTCTAGCTGGGTTAGTTTTTTCTCTGTGTACTTTGCTCTATGTACTCTTCATGTTTCTTCTATTTTATTACTTAGAGTAGTACATTTTTTTTAGAGTAGTACATTTTAATGCTCTACTTGGCTTGCTTTTCTTGTTAGACTGTAAACAATATAAGGGCAAAGACCATTTCTTTGTTTTCTCAGGGCCTAGAAGGCTCTTGGCTGGTATGAAATGCTTAGTAAGTATTGTGTGAAGTAGTCAAAGAACACATCAATATTGGAGACACTAGCTGGTAGTTGTGTATGGAAAGACTGTTCCATGCCAACTCATCTAGGAAGGTGAAAGTAGGCACTGGATTATGTTATGTGTACTTTTTCCCAGATTAAAAAAATACCTGGTTTAAATACAAGTCATCCACATGAACTGAAATGCAGAGTTAAAGCATGAGTATTCCTCTATAAAACCTAGGGTAGAAAATGTCCAGTTTGACTCACGGTTGAGTGTGCCTTCACGTATAACCGTCTTGTGACTCAGTGATCCTCTAGCTAAATTTGTTTCTTTGGATATGCACATAGAATATTGAATCTTCAAGTTCGAATGATAGCTTGTCTAGTGTCTAATCTGTGTATTTGTTTATCAAGTTTTTCCTTGTTAGCATTCTTTTAAAATTATAATATTTTAGGTAGAATGTGAATTATAGTAATTAATCTACTAGAATAACAGCAAAATAAAATTAAGGTTTGTATTTTTAAAATCTGAGTATCATTTTAAATACTGTCCTGATGTTTGTATTGCTTCAGTCTATTCTGAGAGGTAATATAATCTAATCAACAAAGTGTGGTCAGTTCAAATTCACCCCCACAAATTGCCAAATCTGTGTCTTTTCAACTCCCTAATCTCTGTGTCTCAGATTCCTCATCTATAAAATGAGGTTTGTAGTGTGGGCCTCAATAATTTTCTGTATAAAATAATCAAAATTAAGAATAGTGCATTTGAGAATTACATAGTTTATGGCTTTAAAATGGTGGACAAAGAGTAGTGATAATGGTTTTAGAACGTTTAAAAATACTACCCTAAAATACATATTTTTCGCCCTTTGATAGCTCTTTGACAGATTGCGAAATGAAAACCCGGAATTTAGAGAAAAAATTATAGCAGTTGACAGCGAACTAACCCAACCTAAACTGGCTCTTAATGCAGAAGATATAGAGGTCATCCTAGATTCTACCAATATAATATTTCACTGTGCAGCAACAGTAAGATTTAATGAAAATTTAAGGTAAGTACAGACACAATATTGAATTTGAACAGTTAACTTTAAACAATTGAGCATCTGATTTTAATTCTACTTTTTAGTCGTTATTTTAAAAATGATTTGCATATGTAATGGCTTCAGACATGTCTTACATAAAATATTTATGCCTGTTCTAAAAAAAAATGATTTGTAACTGTTTGCCATGTGAGAAGTGTGGTTTTCAGTGACCTATACAGTATGTTCTTCCTGTTCTTTATTAGCTATAAAGACAGATTAGCTAGCATATCTTTATTGAAAAAAAATTGCCATGAATTTAAATGTGTGACAGGGAAGGAGGAAGAGGTAACAAGTGGTAAGTATGGGACTGAAAAAGAAAAGTTTGCTTTGAGTAGGCGTATGGCTCTTCTTTCAGAAGCATATGCAAGTATCGTGTTCAAAGTACTGCTACTAGGATTCCACTTATCTTAGAGTGTCTTCAAAAGAAATATCCAATAAAAACCATGGCTTCTTAGGGGATCTGCCGGGCCAGTTCAAGTCAAAGTAGCTCAGACAATTTGGGGACTTTGAAGGGATAATCTGGATAGATAAAGGAAGCAAGTCAATTGTGAGAGCTTATTGTGAAGACTTTTTTTAAATCATTTTATTGGGGACTGTGACAGGTCTTAAAACATTCCATACATCAATTGTACCAAGCATATTTGTATATGTTTCCATCATCATTTTCTAAACATTTACTTTCTATTTGAATCCTTGGTATCAGCTCTTTTTTCCCTCCCCCCCCCCCGTGACCCCTTGATAAATTATAAATTATTTTTATTTTCATATTTTACACCGTCCGTTGTCCCTTCACACATGTTTCTGTTGTTTGTCCCTTGGGTGGGGGTTGTAAGTCGATCATTACAAGCAATTCCCCCTTTCTTCCCTGCACCCCTACCTTCCCCTACCCTCCTGATACTGCTACTCCCATTTCTGTTCCTGAGGGGTTTATCTGACCTGGATTCCGTGTCTCTTGAACTCTTGTGTGTATCAGTGTACATGCTCTGGTCTAGGTAGGACTGAAAGGCAGGACTGGGGTCATAATAGTGGAGGGTAGGGAAGCCTCAAAGAAGCAGAGGAATATCTGTTTCATCGTTGCTATAGTGCACCCTGGTTGACTTATGTGAAGATGTTTTAAGACGAAGAATCAGAGGTTTCACTGGTAAGAAGAATGCCAGGGAGGTTGCGCAGAGGAGTCTTTTCCCATTATTGTTCATTCTTTGAGGATAGCAAAGGCTGCTCTTAAGAAATTTCATTGGGAAACCTTAGTGAATCTACCCTCCGGCACTTATCTCACCCCTTCAGACTTCTTTTTTGAACTATAACAGGGCCACTGTTATAGTCCCTTACATTTTGCACTGTTGCTTTATAGGTTTCAAGGTATTTCCCCATTTTATATAATGCTAGCCTTACTGAAGAAACTGGGACAGCGTTGTGTAATAGAAAAGATGTAAGTCTTGGAGTTACAGACATTAGCTCCCATCTTGCCATTATTATTTATTAGCTGGTGAGTTTAGGCCAGCTATGACCTTCTTCTGAGCCTCCGTTTTCTTAGTATATAAAATTGAGTCTAATTCATAGTAAAAGATATCAGAGATGTAGCAATTATGGGTAATACAAGGCTCGGGGTATGAGTATGATCATGATCTGAGAAAGGAGTAAAAGTAATGATGAGTGAATAAAAAGATCAAAAAACTAAAATATAAGCACAACGACTCACTAATCTCCCTCGTTAGATCTGACTATTGTGTTGCTGAAAATTGAGCCAAGGCAGTGAGTTGACTTCCAGGCCTTACTGGAACTAAGGGTGACTACGGGGCTTACAGGGAGATTCAGACTTAGTGTGAAGATTAATTTATCTTCTAATTCCATTTCCCCATAAACTTTTTGAAGCCTTTTTGTAATCTGGGGGTTCCCAATGCGACTGGTCTTGTGTATGATTTTCAGTTTTGTTTCACATTTTTCTGCACTCTTTCGAGGGCTTAATGAGCTTGTAAGACGCCAGTTAGGAAAGTAGGATGTAGAACTGTTGTGGACTGTTTTATGCCAATAGACCTTCTTGTCTCCTGAAACTATGATCCTGAGCCCCCAGGCTCAGCAACTCACTCTCTGCTTTTGTTTAAGAAGTTCTCCTAACTCTGCCCTGTGTACTCCACCACATTCACTGATATATTTGCAGCAAGAGTAAATACGCATAAAGAAGTATCTTCGGACAACCTACATTTATTTGTGCCTGCAGTCCCATTCTCTCTCCCATATATCCATTTATTCTGTGTCTGTCTTTGCATATACTCTTAGGTCTCCATTATTGCAAGATTATGTATATAATAGTATTTTTCTTGTTGCCTATAATTCTTGCACTCCTCATAGTATTTTCCCTTCCATCTGGAATCTACATTTTTAACAAGTTGGACCATATTAACAAGGTTTGATCAATTTTGTACCCCTAGTTGTGGTCCTTAGGTTGCCCAGTTTGCACTTAGTTACCAACTACAAGATGGAAGGTTTGAACCTACCCAGAGGTGCTGTGAAAGAAAGGTCTTTTTTTTAAATGGTTACAGCCAAGAAAACCCTTAGAGCTCAGTTCTACCCTATAGCACATAGAGACACTATGAGTTGGAATCAACTCCATTACAAAGTATTCCTTTCATTCCCCAACCCATTCTTATTTAAGCTATGTTTATGACTCTGTATAACCAACACATCATAAGATCACAATTTATGTTTAGTATATGCTTTCTGAATTGAAATCGGGTTGAAGTAAAAGAGGATAATCAGCCTGCAGAAGGACTAACAGTGACCTTTCTGGCACAAAGTAGCTTCAGGTTTGAGCTTTTGGGTACAAGTGGGAGGAGTGGTGGTGGTGGTGAGCAAGACATGCAGATGCTTCAAATTATTCCTTATTTTCAGTGACCCAGAAACTTTGTCACCATCTTCAGGGACCTGTAACAGATAGATCCTTTGTGTGATTCTCCCAATAGATTGCCCTTTCTTCCCTATTCTTTTGCAAATGTGAAAGAGTATCACATTCTCTTACAGTCTAGTGGATAGTATCCTCTCTGAAACTTCTTGCTGGATTTTCATTCAAACAGATTCCCCTTCCCCTTTCATTGAAACAAGGAAGAAGAAGCTTACATGAATACATGCTTGTAATACCCCAACATAATTATTTCATTAACATTTTTCCTTCTAGGATGGCTGCATAGTTGTTCATAGACTAGTAAATGAAAGATTGAGGCACATTTTTCTTTTCTCTCCTAAGTTATTTCTTGTCCCTGGTGACCCAGAACTAAATGTCCTATCCTCAGGAACCTGCAACAGAATAGTCTTGATACACCTCTCTCTAAACAGTGCCTTACTTACTGCCATTGTTTTTCAAACGTGATAGACATCAAAGCACTACTTTACAATCAAGTAGACAGAATACCTGTGAAATACCCTGGCCTTTTAAAAGACTAAATCCGATTACTGTTGAGGCAATTCAAAGTAGAATAGCACTCCATAGGGTTTTCAAAGATGTGACCTATTTTGAAAAAGATCATCGAGCCTTTCTTCTGGCGCACCTCTTGGTGGGGTCGAATCTCCAGCTTTTTGGGTTAGGTAGCAGTGCTTAACCATTTGTGTCACCAACCCACCCACTGCCATTAAGTCAGTTCCAACTCAGACTCCTGTATAGGATTTCTGAGTCTCTGACCCTTTATGGGGACAGATAGGCTCATCTTTTCCTCCCATGGAATGGCTGGTGGGGGGTTGATTCACCAACCTCTCAATTCACAGTCCAGTGTCACCTGACAGTGCCACCAAAAATAGTTGGATATCTCCCTTCTTAAATAATTAAAATGTTTGAAATGTATTCATTACTTTCATTAAATAAAATTTTTGATCCATTTTGAGCTTGTGTTGTTTTATATGATCATGAACATAAAACAATTTTCTTATTTATTTATAATTTTCTTGTATCCCCCCCCACACACAGTTAAATAATTTTAGTGATTCGATTATATTCCATCATGCCACCATGATATACTTATGAACTATTTAAGTTAACAAATTTAGGAAATTTTCATTTTATTCTGTTGAGAATTAAGGGTTAGAACAAATTTTTTTCTCTCAGCTTCTGTAGGTTAACTTTATTATTTCTAAAATTCCTAGAACTCTGCCCTAATGCATATCAGATTAATTGTGCTAGTTAATAAGAGACACAAGCAGTGTATTATTTTACCAACTCTGCCACAGTGTTGCTAGTATTGAATAAATATTGAATCAATACTATTGATTCAATATTTATGAATATTGAATCAATAGTATTGAATATTGAACATTTTCATAAAAACATAACGTTTTATAGGGAGCAAAACCTACCCACCATTTCATTACTTTAGTATTCATTTTGTGTCTGCATTTGGATTCAGAAGTCAGGCTACGTGCTTGCAAACGATTTAATTTATACAGATTATATTAATTAGATTCCATGCTGTTTCTATTTATAGGTGAGGAAACGGCGCCTGAGTGCTTAAGTCACTTTACCAAGGACCCCTAGTCCTAGCTAATTGATAGGCCAAGGCAGACTTGAGAACCTTGTTGTTAAAACTATGTCATATGTGTATTATTTAGCAATATTCATATAGATGTTACATATCTTTTTGGTCTTTGTATAATTATTTTAAAGGCTATGTTCATTATGATAAGATAGATGCCCATTTTATTGAACCATTCCATTTATAGTGACTATTGTGGCTCTGTAAGCTTTTGGTATTACATGATGCTTCATTGATTTTATTGGTGTTCATTTGTGCATACATATTTTTGCTTTTATACAATTATTAGTTTGACTAAATTCTAAGGCAGCAATGTGTAAATTTGTGTGGGATCTTACATATGCCTCCTATAACAAATGTACTAGTTTTTTCATTAATATTATTTTGGTGAAAACATATACAACAAAGCATATGCCATGTACTAGCTTTGTTATAATAGCCCTTTCAAGTTTATAAAAAGCGGTGTTTCATGAATTGGCTTGCTACAAATATTCTTATTTGATTATATGTTAATATAATTTATTGTTTCTATTTTATTATTATTTCATTCTTATCGCTGATTCTTCTTAGGCATTTTAATGTCTTCTCTTTGTGGCTCATATTATGAAAGGTTATACAAATTAAGACACATAAAAATAAAGTCTGGAATGATTTCAAGATGTTTGCGTAAAAGCTTTAAACTAAAACCCATTACCATTGAATGAATTCCAACTCATCTGAATTATCAATGTTTTCTCAGGGAAGTTTTATTTATCTATTTATTTTAGGCTTTACTTTTATTTTTGAAGTTGACCAGATAAGTGTTTGATCAGAAAGCTTCTTTATAAGCATAACTGCCAGAGTGGATTTCCTTACTTCATACTGAATTAAAATCGGAGATAAGGAATCAGTTGTAAAGAACTAAAAATCTGTGTCTGTCTCTACCTCTCTAATGGCAATAGGACTTCTTTAAAAATAGGATTCAAAAGCAAATGGCACAGCCTCCTAACTTTTCATTGTCACTGTTTCTCTTACAGAAATGCTGTTCAGTTAAATGTGATTGCTACAAGACAGCTTATTCTTCTTGCACATCAAATGAAGAATCTGGATGTGTTTGTGCATGTATCAACAGCATATGCATACTGCAATAGAAAGCATATTGATGAAATCATCTATCCACCACCTGTTGATCCCAAGAAGCTGATCGATTCTTTAGAGTATGTTTTTTTGAAAATGTGCTTATATCTGCTTAGATCCCCAAACTAGGTTTTTTTATTTATATGTGTTGTTTGATCTACTTCTGTTTTTCTCTTCCTCTCTCTCCATTTATAAATACTTGAAAATGTATAGGTGTGTCAGAAAGCATTGCCGCTGGGGTTCCATTTCATACATAGATGAGTTTCTTTCAAACAATAAGTGTTTTAAACATGTCTCTGCCATCAGTGGATGAATGCAGAAAAATTCTTTATAGAATATTTTTGTCCTGTGGTAGAATTCGTTTTTTACAAAAAAGATTACATCAAAATTATGGCTCATGAGAGAACTACTGGGCCAGTTAAATTTAAGGAAGAGAGTGGTTACCTCAGAAGATTATGGAGGCTGAGGTTTGGGATGCCAAAGATGTAGTCTTGGTAGATTTTCCTGTAAAACACAGAGCAGTCGTGGAGCTTATTAGTAAAAAACTACATTGGTGAGAAAAAGGCCAGGAGAGTTGCACTGAGGGTTTTATTTCTGTGCAACAATGTGCAAGGACTGTCCCATTAACCCATCTACTCTACAACACTAGCCTTGCCTCTTCAGACTTCTTATTGTTTGCAAAACACAATATTTAAAAGGAATACAATTTGAGTCCCTGTATGCCCCCAAAGCTGCCACCTGAAGTTGTGTACATTGTGTATGTTGAAGTGCACAAAATTCTTTGGGGAAGTGAGAGAGAGATGGAAACACTGCTTTCAGAGGAATAGACCCAGATCAAAGATATGCTAAGAGATATAATTTCTGTTTATAATAAAGGTTTATAAGATTTTGTAGCAATACTTTTGATTTATCCTCATACATTTTGAAGCATAGTTTTATCTTGACAATATCTGTTTTGTTCTTTCTCTTCATTAAGTGTAGGTATCATTAGAGTATCAGTCTATTGAATGTACTTGTATGCATAGCCTTATAGACAGTAAGAAAAGTACAGCATCTGAAAACAGGCACATGACACATTGGAATTAGAAAACTTAGACTGGAAAATGCTAGAGATATCACCTAGTATATCACTCTTTTTGCAAATGAGCAGAATAAATAATTTCCTTATAGACAATGAGAGACTTTCACAACTTTATCATAAATTGTGAGTTTTTGTAGTACAGTTCACTTTATTATTATTGTTTACTGTAGTATTGGATAATTTCGCTAGTAAGAACATACATTGTTCAGTGCTTTACCTTAAATATTTAGGTTACTGAACCTCTTGTATTCGTTGTAAATGTATGTTCATTGTAAATTATATAATTAGCACGCTACTCTATTAGGTGATTGTAAACAGGTCTATAATCTGAACCTTTGGAGTCATCTAATTTGGAATTTATTTCGACCTTAGAAAGGAAATGTGAACTATGTGTTATAAATGTGAAATAGTTTCAGCAATACCTGAGGTAGCATCTCTGATCAGACTTTGAAATGTATGAATACTTAAGTGGTATAATAAAGACCATTAACTGATTCAGGTCAGGTTTTGCTACCTACCATGTTATTTATGAAAGAATTCATAATTTTCAGTTTGTGGAAATAGAAATTACAGATAGAATTACAGATAAGAATAAGGAATTGTAGATCTCTAGTTGATGCTTAATGAAAATAAGACCAACTTCTATATTTTTCATAAAAGTTGTCACCAAATCATTTTAATTAAAGCAACAGATATCTGTGCAGAGTGCAATGATAATAAAATATAATAAATTCATAATAAAACATTTAGAAAAATTTCAAATATACTTGCTTCCATTACTAGGTGGATGGATGATGGCCTAATAAATGATATCACCCCCAAATTGATAGGAGACAGACCTAATACCTATATCTACACGAAAGCCTTGGCAGAGTATGTTGTGCAACAAGAAGGAGCCAAGCTAAATGTGGCCATTGTGAGGCCGTCCATCGTCGGCGCCAGCTGGAAAGAGCCTTTCCCAGTAAGTTGCTCCGAAGTTCTTTGTAAATAAGTTATCTTCACATTTTAAGTTGTAATTCTGTATTAAAAGTTGGCAATTGTGTAATAGAAATATATATACTGGACATGGCACACTGGCAGAACAATTGTCTACTCATTGGAAGAGGCGATAATGGTTCTAATGTGATGGTGATTGTACAGAAATGCAGATCAACATTTACAAAAACCTAACTGAAAACTACAATAAAAGTTACGCAGTTTCATTGTCAGAGGGGAGACCACCATGCCTTATGAGTTCTGTGATTGACAAGAGACTGGACGAATACGTCAGCATTTGTTGACCTTTCCGAGTATTTGTTGATTTGTTCCTCTTACAAAGACGAAGAGAACAGAGATGAGCTTATTCAGAATCTTGTTTTATTTCATTTGCTAAAGCTCCAAATCAGGCAGCCCCTTCTAGAGGCAGACAGTCCTGTATAGATCCATAATGAAGAAAGCTATAAGATGGCTGCGATAGCTTGATATAAAAAATAGGACATAGGATAATGTTGAATCCCTGGAATTAGCTGATTAATTAATTAGTCGATTAACCAGCATGTAATTCAATTTAGGAAACACCCAGGTTTCTGTAATAACCATACATGTAGCCTCTCTAGTTACTTTGCCAATTATTCTGTTTTCCACTGTTTTAGGCAGTAGTTTTGAGGAGAATTTACCATTTCCCTTAATCTCAGAATGCAACATCAGTTAGTAGCTAACTTGAACTAGCGTCATTTAGCAAAATAATTTTACCGATATGAACTTTATTTATATTCCCTTTGCTGAGAGTTAGTAGTTGATCCCTTGAAACTGTTTCTGTACAGTTATTTGGGATCCCAGAAGACTACACCTATTTTAGACTAGGAGAAATTATTTGATCTGAATTTTAGTAGTTTAGCTTTTAGAAAAAGAACTAACAAGTGTGTATTTGAGGTTATAGATTTCAAATAAGTTTTTTACTTTGTAATATTTCTAAGTTCCCCCTTTCCCCTTTTTTAATTTTGGTATTAGGGATGGATCGATAACATTAATGGACCAAGTGGTCTCTTTATTGCGGTAAGTAAACATATTTGTGTATTTAATGTTTGATATATTTTTCTGTATATACCATCTAAAGATAACTCTGGCTTATATATCTTAAAGTGTTCTTTTTAATTTTAACAAAGGCAGGGAAAGGAATCCTTCGAACAATGCGTGCCTCCAACAATGCCCTCGCAGATCTTGTTCCAGTAGATGTAGTTGTCAACATGAGTCTTGCAGCAGCGTGGTATTCCGGAGTTAATAGGTATGAGGTGACAGTATCACTTGTTATATCTATAGTAACTGAAAGGGGAAAACAGAGCTACTGACTAATGTTAATCTTTCAGTCCTGATATTACTATACATATCTATGTATGTAATATGTATATGTATATCTATGTGTATGCATGTACATATGTAGTATCACTTCCAACTGTAAGTGTTGGTATATCATAGGTGATAGTAAGTGGTCTCTTTCATAATAGTCAGGAATTAATATTGATTCTCTTGTACTCCCTACAGAATGGGTAAATTTTTTATTGATTAAAAATTAGGATGGGAAAATAGTGTTTTATCTATCCTGTAAAATTTGGTGTAAACTTTAAAGAACTAAAATTCACAGAGTATGGCTTACATATATCAAATATGACATTCTACAGTAGTTTTAATTATGGGTATTTTTCTTTTAGAAGAGTAGTGGGATTATTGATATATAATTTCCAACTTCTCAACAACTTTCCTTTCTTATAAAACTGTACTTTTTCATGTTAATGCTTTAGCCTTAAAAAAAAAAGGAGATACGATTACATAAATAAATGAAGATGCTAAAAGAATTCTTGCAAAAATTCCATCATCTTTTAATTCCATTTTTGTATGGATTTTGTTGCAGCTCCCTTGTATTGTTTCTGGCAAAAAGGAACACAGCTCATAATTTAAAAATTTTCTTTAATAACTTAGAGCCTCTTAAAATGGAAAGCATGTAGGGAGATCTGAATTCATTGCTTGTTTTGTTGTTTTCTTTTCATTTCTTTCCATATACAATGAGGCATTGCTGCTAATGCAAATATAAGGGAGAAAACAGAGGGAAGGAGTGTGTGTGTGTGTTTATGAAAACTTTTTTTAATAGAGGATTAGAAAAAGGAGTTGTAAATAGCAAATCAACCATAAAAATCCTTTAAAGATTATTTTAACAGTAAATGTATAGAGAAAGTACCCATCATCCTAACTTATTTTTACTGAAATATCACCTAAGATAAAGGATGGGTGACTTTGACCTCTTTCTGTGTTTCCTTGTTTTGATCTTTTTCTTTCAGACCCAGGAGTATGATGGTGTATAATTGTACAACAGGCAGCACTAATCCTTTCCACTGGGGTGAAGTTGGTATGATTTAATTTGTGTTTTTGAATGTTAGAATAAAACTTGAAGAATTTAAATGTCCACCACGTTTCTGTGTTAGAATAACCCACAAGGCATTCAGGTTGCAGAGTTACCAATGTGTTATTTTAACAGCCAAAGTGGCTGTTAGATAGAAGTAATATCTATCAATATACGTATGGGTCATAGTAGGGCTTCACAAATTTTTAAAATTCTGCTGTATATTTGTACACCATCCCTTTTTGACCTTTGCCTTATTTTTACTGATATCTATAGTAATAGTTATAACTTATCTATGAAATAAAAGGAAATCTTTTTAACCTCCCTTATGGGTTTCCTTAGGCCTGATGTTGTCTGATGGGCAATATCATTTTCACCTGCATGATTTAGTGTATCAGAGGAGATCAAGTAGCTCAGAAGTAGGATGCATTTTGCAAGAAAATTTTCTATTTTATTAATCTTATGTATAGTCACAAATTCAGTGTGGTATAATATGCTACTAATTCTAAAATAGGATAAGGATAACTTAAAGCCATTTGAAAAGACATTTTTTTGAGTTGGTAGATCATTCTGCCCTACAGTTTTTCTACAGCATTTTAATTTCAATTTAAAGATTGACCTTTAGAGCATAGAGCAAAAATTAAAATTTAGAATGACTTAATGGTTATGGTATTTCTTAAAATAATATTCTTTTAAAAGAAAATACTTGAATCACCTTAAATAAGTTAGGCTGGTTTTAATGTTCTGTAAAGTTGAATAAAACCACGTTGAGCATATTGTTAGTGACTAACTCAATATGCTTCTCTATTATAGTGTTAATGTGGATATTAGGCGTGATTAAATGTTGGCATTGTATGACCTAAATAAGTTACAGCAGAAGTTAATCGTGGGTTGTGTTATGCTTGTTCGGTATCTGTTAATTTGAGCAACTTAATCAGAGGAGGATGGCTTTCCTTTTCTTTTAAAGTAAATACAGTGATAAGTATCTGGAAAGAGGAACAGAAAGAAAGAAGCTGTCGTGAGAGGTGAAGTGTAGAAAGTGACATAATAGACTGGCATAGGTAAAACATCCAAAATAATTTAACAGTAAATTTTAGCAAAAAACCATCAACTGCTCAGGACATTTCTAATTAAAATTCACAAATGGCAGTTCTAAAACCACTTGAGTTCAGTCCACTATTCATATTCTTCTAGCTACTATCAAGAATAGAAAAGGGTTTTTTTTAATGAGAGAACTCTGACATCTTTGATAAATATTTTGCATTGTAAAACATGACTTTTTTTCCCCAAACTTCATTACATGGTTATTATCAAAGCTGTTACACAACTTTTCTTCCTCAGAATACCATGTAATTTCCACTTTCAAGAGGAATCCTCTCGAACAGGCCTTCAGACGGCCCTATGTAAATCTAACCTCCAATCACCTTTTATATCATTACTGGATTGCTGTGAGCCATAAGGCCCCAGCATTCCTGTATGATATCTACCTCAGGATGACGGGACGAAGCCCAAGGTAATGGTGACTAGCTCTGTCTTTTCTGTTCCTCTGACTTTTAAACAACCCATGCTTACACTAAAATGTACATTAACTTTGTATTTGTTTATGTTTATGAGAAGGCTTAATGGCCTTTTATGAATGCGAAGACTCTTGAATTTAAGACTTTGTCAGAAAAGAAAAGGTCGTCTTGTAAGTCTAATTTGTTCTAAAGTTTGGATGATAAAATGTTAATTTGTCTCCACTTCTAATTTTAATTTTTCTTTGCCTGAATAACAAATAACACTCAAGATACTTTGATGCTTTATTTTTTGTACAGGATATTATGTGACTCATTTCTTCAATATGAATCCTTTTAACCAAGTAGTAAGATGCCCCTCCTGGAAGTTTTATTCCAATGACCTATGGGTTCTTTATTACAAGGGTGTCGACCATATAGTACCTGCATTATTGCTCGATCTTGCATTCAGGTTAACAGGTCAGAGACCGTGGTAAGAATAGCCGTAAATACACTATGTATTGGTAAGGTGGTGGAAGCTTGCTGGAGAGACTAAAAGTCGCTAGCATGAGCTTTACCTTTAGATTTACTAATCTAATAAATTGCAATCACAATCAGGATGTCAGGACATTTCTAATAATTGGAGGTATTTGGAGAGACTTTGTATCACATTTTATCTGGCTGTTGATATTCTCAGATCCCTGATATGGAAATGTCTAACACCCAGGTTGTCATTGTTATTATAAGCTGAAATTGAACCTCTTTCCTCTCCCCCTTTAAAAACTAGGGGTCAGTTTTATAGGGGATTATGGGTAAAATGTTTTTGCTTTAAACAGATGGTGTAATTTTATGAAAAAACAAGGATGCTTCTAGAAAATTAAATATCAAAATATGCCAGCTGCCTGTTCAGCTTATAATATGGTAATCACAATTTTTGACTGATTTTCCAAGTTGGAAATTGTATAATTTAAAAAGACAAATGTAAAACTTTCTATTTTCTTATAGTTGTTTTAGCCTGTCTTTAAAACTTTTATGGAGCCCTACAAACTTAAATAATCTTCTTTTAGTGTCCTTACCACATGGGCACAATGAAATGTAAGAGCATTTTTAAAACTGCATTGGAATTTTAGTGGCGAGTTCAGGGTTTGGGTATATGTAAAGAAAATGTTGAATTTCCATTAGCCGCTCAAAAATAAAAGTATCAGAATCTGTTACATGTAGGGATTTTTCTATACATTTAGTTGACTGTGATGTTCTTAGCACTATATGTTGAATACTGAAATATGTGAGAAATGTTGAATGAAAACATCTTGGAACAGAAAAAAAATACTTTCTGGGAAAAGCCAGCATACATCACAATTATCTTAGTTTTTCCTGGAGTGATCTGTAAAATACAATCTTTGTCATTTATTTTTTTATCACTAGAAAGCAGATGAAAATTTATGAATGACAGTGCATGCTTTTTAAGAATAAAAGTGTGGCAGTCTCGGCTAGAAAAGTCTAACTTGGTTCCCAAACTGAAACACCTTAAATTTATTGCAGTTCCTTATATAAAGAGAGGTTAGTAAATGTAGAAAATGAATAATAGCTAAAGTTCACCAATTAACTCAGAGTAGATGTTGCTACATAACAAATTATCTCAAGTTTAGTGATGTTAAACATGGTATAAAACAGCAACAGTCATTTTGTAAAAATGTTTCATTTTATTATATTTCTCAGAATAAGGAATTTAGGACGGGCTTAATTAAGCAGTGGAGTTATAACTTGTACTGTGGTTGTGGTCAAGTGGAGGTTAAAGGTGAAAAGAGTTGGGGGAAGTAGAGAGGTGAGGCAGCTGGGAGGATGGTTGGCCAAGCGTCACTGCTACTGTGTGTAGTTTCAGATCTCTCCATAGAGCCTTTTGGCATGGAGGACTGACTGAAGACTTGAAGGGGGAAGTGTTCTAGCAAGCAGCGAGGAGACTACACTGTCTCGTTTGGCCTAGGTATGGTAGCCAAGCAGTCTCGCCGCCACTTCACTCTTTTAGTTACAAACGAGTGATAAGCCTTGTCATATTGTAGAAAAGGAGCCATATGCCCCCATCTCTTGAGGAGATAATAACTGAGATCATGTTATAAATAAGGAGGTGAGAAGGAAGATACTGTTTTAAACCATTTTTTGGAAAGTGTAGTTTGTTACAGCCAGCCCTCCCCCCTGAAAAATTTATACCAGGATTGTATTTAAAATTATGTCCAATTGTGGATGCGGCTCTGGAGGAGTATACTTTTGTGAATATAGCTCCTCAAGTACAGTTCCTGAAGTATTGATTTGAAAACCCATGAATTAAAGGGAAAAGTTTTATTCCAGCCCCTTATACCCAACATAGGGGGCAAGCATAGGGTGATAGCTTTGGATAGGAAAAGGCAAAACAAGAGAGACACAGCTGTCATTGAGCCATAACAGTTCTTACATCCACCCGGGCTCATCGTGCCAGTTTCTTAAGTAGGGTTCGGTCCTCTGCCTTGGAAGTTTGCCAAGACCCTCTAGTCTCTTGTCTCTGCCATCTAAGTCGTCCTTCCTCTTGTGTAAGAAATGGGTTGTGTGTGCACTGAGTGACCCTACTCAGAGAAAGTTGGGAGCATAAGGAGAGGTCAGAAAACTTATTTTTGTAAAAAGCCATATAGTAAATATTTTCGTTTTTATGGATTATTTGGTCTCTCTTCAGTTATGTTACTGTAGTGTGAAAGAAGCCAGAGACCGTCTAACGTGGTCACGACCATGTTACAAAAACAGAGTAGTGGACTGCATTTGGCCTGCAGGCCATGGTTTCCTGAACTCTGATCCAGAGGCCTTTTAGCATTTTGTAGTCACCGAATCTTTAATTGCAAGCATATAATTCTTTTAAAAATTATTTATAATACTTACCTGGCAGGGGAGATACCATGATCACGAAGGTGGTTTTCCCAGGGCGAGGCTTATCCATTGCACTCCGGATGTGCTGACCCCTGCGATTTCCCCAAATGTGGGAAACTCGACTGCATAATTTGTGGTAGTGGGGGACTGCGTTCGCGAAAAAAAAAAAAAAAAAAAATTATTTATAAAACCTTTTACTCCATTAGACCAAAGTCATACCTTCAGATTGCTGAGAAAATGCCCTTCTCTTTCTTGATTCCCATAGGAGGTTACTGTGGAACAACCTCCTTCATACAGTTTACTCTTAAATCCTGTCTTTAAACAATAAGGTTTCTGTGAGATGTGTCCCTGTGATTAGGAGAGAGCTTTTTGTCTGTCAGAAAGATGCTACGAAGCACTACCTTAGTGTTTTCTGAAGCTTTTCAAAGGTATTTAAAGCCCCACCCAGGATTCGATATATGCTGAAAAGCCATTTCTTTAAAGAATTCCTTTATGCTTCTTTCAAATTCCACTTAAAGTAGTGGGATTTTAGGATCATCTCTCCTCTGTTTACTGTGATTGCCAGAAAGCGCCTTCAATACTGGCCCCAAATCTGATAGCATGTTTATTATAATTTCTGTTATGCATAATAAGCAGGTAACAGTTTTATTAAATTTTGTCAAACCGATGGTCTTCTTTTAAAAAAAAACTATCTTCCTCATTTTCTTGTAGACTTCTGCTGATAACCCTTTTGGTTTTACTAGCAGTCTCCCTAATAACCCCATTCTATCAACTACTTGATATTAAAGTCATTGATGTGTTTTAGTTTGTATTGTAGCACTAGCACCAGTGCTAAGATCGCTCCTGTTATCATTGTTGCATAACATCCCACAGTTAGTGGCGTAATCCAATTACTTTGCTTATCTCTGATGCTTTCTGTGGCCAGGCATTTTCTAAGGGCTTGGCTCGATGGTTCTGGCAGGTACAGTGTGGAGGGAAGTAGACTAAAGAGATGCAGAGCAGCTGGGGTGGCCAGGCATCGTTCTCTCTGCCTGTAGCCTCAGCCTCTCCATGTGGTCTGTCCACATGGACCAGCTTGGGCTTCCTCACAACATGGCAACTTCAGGGGGAGTTGGACAGCATGCGTGGCAACAGAAGGCTTCAAGGGTGAGTATCCCAGTGAGCAAGGCAGAAAGTTCCATCACTTTTACTAATATAACCTTGGAAGTTATGGTGTTACTTCCATTTCATTTTATTGGTTACAAGTGACCTTCAGTTTTGATGGGGAGGGGTTTAAGAGGTGAAATTGTAAATGTAGGACAGGGGATGATATTGCAGCCATCTTTAGAAATGAAAACTGCTACAAATGGGAAATAGCAAGTAAAGAATACTCTTACTTGAGTCAGATCTATCCTTTGTGAGGCCAGCTTTCTAAATATCAAAGCAGGCGTGATTCTTGACCTCTGGGAGCTTATCATCTAAAACCAACATGGGACATAAGGTTTTTTATTTTGGCGATTTTATGTTATTTACAAAGTTTAAAATGTACCTTTTAAACTTTTGTATAGATGACTGTTGAGCAAGGCACTAGGCATCATGCTATTTATTGGGGGATTTAATATGGTACTTTTATATTAATAGCAAACATTCATGGTATCCACTTTACTCTCAGAATTTTGAGCCGAAGCTAGCTACAAGTCTGATTTGCTGTATATCTTGACGTAATTATAAAAAGTTACAACTAAGACATACCTCACATGGCTTTTAATCATTGGGGACTAGAATACCTGGTATTGTTACGTGTAGAAACAGGGTAAATTATTCATTTCAGCACTTAAAATATAGTGGCCATTGCTTCACTGTTCAAAACACATCTCCAAAAACAGAAGCTCCATAGTCTCGTTCTTCGATTATTTAGCTTAACTTCTCTGAACCTGGTGTTTTTCATCTGTGCTTCTCGACTAGGAGCCCTGGTAGTGCTGATGTTAAAGTGCTCTGCTGCTAACTAAAAGGTTGGTGGTTTGAACCCACCCGCGCTGCTCCACAGAAGCAAGATGTGATAGTCTGCTTCCTTCTATAAAGATTTGCAACCTTGGGTTTACAGTTCTGCTCCGGGCTGAGGGTTGTTAAGGGTTGGAATTGACTCAACAGCAGTGGGCGGGTTTTGATTCTCAACTAGGGACAGTTCTATTCCCTGGGGAGCTGTTGACAATAAATGGAGATAGATTTAATTATTGAAACTGGGCGAGGAGGGCTCCTGGCATCTAATGATAAGCCAGGGATGTGACCAGCTCCTTAGAGCGCACAGCAAAGAATTATCTGGCCTAAAATGTCTAATGCGGAGTCGGAGACTCTTAACTTAATGCTCATTAAGATTTTCCCCTTCTCTGAAGGATTGTCGTTATTATTTGAATTTTGCCACAGTAAAGAAATAACTACTTGGAGCACACCTGGCCAGATGATCACAGCACGTGCTCTTGTGGCATGACATTCCTGACCAAAGACTGATTGATGGTGCAACCTTTTGCTTTTTTTTACCCTCCATAGCATTCAATGTAGTACTTTTGTTGCCTGATCATCTATACATTTTCCCTATGTATATGGCCTTTGAAATTTATTTCCCCCATTTTTATTATAATCATGTTTTTAATGACTGAGTCAATGATTGCTTTTAGGGTAATGCTGTCACTTAAATGAGTCTCAAGACCAGATGAGAATGGTCAGTGAAAAATAATTCATGATCTATGTAGGAAAACCAAGTTAATCAAGTGTATGTCATTTGAGTGCATATTGGTTGTGATTGTGTATATTGTTTTAGTTGCAAATCTGTTATATCTCTCTGTTGGTTGTCAGACAAAAATAATCTGATTTCTTCCCTTCTGGAAGAAGCGTGTGTCTCTCTCCCCCACGTGCTTCCAATCTTTATAAATCATTCATAACCAAACAGACTTTTGTTGTTTAGTAATTCTTTTCATGTTTAGTGGAGATTTTATTTTAGAATCACTTTATTACATGAACTACAGATTTTTCTTTTCATGGTTCCTATTATCTCATTTTCTCACAGTATTCTGGATTCAGGTTTTCTTCCCCTCTCCATTTCTTAAGTTCATTCTTAAATTTAGGGCTTTCTAAACTACATATAATGCCAGTTTTTATTGTTGGAATCATAATGGAATTATTTTAAAATATTTTTCCAAAAAATTTTATCTTTTATCTGAAATTGGATCTTTTCGGTGTTTAAAAAAATTTTTTTTCCTTATTTATCAGAGCTAATTATTACATTGTAATTATTACCAATTGGATTAGTGTAATGATATCAATGACTTTCAGTATTATGCGTAAACTGGTAGATTTAAGTATCAATGTTCCTGCCCTATTAAAATGAAGCAAATTAAAAAAATTAGTGAATGCCCTTATTTCTATTGGGGGTCTAAAGGGGAGATGCAATGTTTGAATTCATTTTTCAGGAAATTTCATCAGGAGTCATTGAAATCATGGCACTTTTAAACGATAAATTGTGGCACCAATCATTGTGAAAAGGAATGTTGTTGTTATTTTTTTAAAATAGCATTGACTGCATGGAAAACAAATATTTCTGTATACTTAGCTGTCAAGATTTGAAATTGTAAAGTTATACACAGTACTGTGAATTTCCAGGAAAATCTTAGGCATTATAAATTTACAGGTAAATGCACCTGAGGTAAAATGTAGTTTAAAAACAAAAACAAAGGGATATTAATTTAATTCACTTATTTGTCTAGTATCTTACTTAAAATTTTACCTTGTAAAGTATTCCCTTTGCAAATTAATTTCATGTATTAGAACAAATCTATGTAGAGTGTATTGAATGAACTTAATTGCTATGAAAATTTTCTTTCACATTCAAAAAATGTTATCCTAAGATGCAGAAATATTTGAAAACCCTGCTGGTTTAATATTCTTATTGAATTATGCATTGTATTTTAATGATAATAGCTATATTGGTGGGTACTGGTACTTTGGGCAGTAGTAGAATTTTCCCTAATCTAGCAAAATATGAACTTGTCCATTTTTCTTACAATACAGGATGATGAAAGCAATAACTCGCCTTCATAAAGCAATGATGCTTCTTGAATATTTCACAAGTAATTCTTGGGTTTGGAATACTGACAATGTTAATATGTTAATGAACCAGCTAAACGCCGAAGATAAAAAGGCTAGTATTTTATCTTTTATATTAGAAAGTACTCAGCATACTAGAGAGCCATTAGCAACATGAGAAATAATTGGATATTTTCCATAACCATTGTACATCAAGAAAGTTGATCTATTTATAGTTTCTCATTAAAGCTTCAGTTAATTGTTGGTGGTAAATTAAAGTTACTTTATCTTAGTATTTATAGTATAAGTTTGACCAAAATTTTCTTTATGTTGGTTAAAAAAAACATTTGACTTTATATGCTTTTTTTCTCCGAACACCTTTGTCTCAGAAAATATTTTTTTTCCAGAAAATATTTTTATACAGTTTTTATTATCAATCAGTATTTCCATATATCCCCTCTTAGTATGGAAATTAAATAAATGCTCAGCTGTTAACCCAAAGGGTAGCGCATCAAAGAAAGACCTAGTGATAACCTTCTGAAAAGTCAGCTGGTCCAAGCCTTTTGGAACACAGTCGGACTCTGACAGAACGTGGCTCTCCTTGAGTTGGAATCAGTTCTGTAACTCAAAAGCCAAACTCGCTGTCATGGAGTCACTTCTGACCCTTAGTGATCCCATAGGACATTGGAACTGCCCTGTGGAATCAACCCCAGGGCTGCTGCTACACATGTTCACATGCTCCACCCGACACCTTTTCTTGAATTTTGAGGAAACTTTTCCTCAAAAATTACTTTTTGTGTATTCATTCTATTTTTTTTCCTCTGCTACTTTTGAATTTAAGCTCGTGTGTGTGTGTGTGTGTGTGTGTGTGTGTGTGTGTGTTTGAGGTTATGTTGTTGATTTAACATGCATACCAAACAACAGGTTAAGCAATTTCTATAGCCTTCTTTATAATGATATTTAGGGCTGTACGATGTTAAAGTTGTGCTTACTAGCCTCACCAAGTTCTAGGGTTTCTCATTACTTTAGTTCTTTGTTTAAACTCCATATGTAGGTGTAATTATTTTATTTGTTAGATTTTGTTGCTTTATTTGTATCAGTTTTTATTTAGGTTCAGTTGTTTATTTACTGGTATCTTTGCTCGCCATTCCTTCTTCTCTGTAGGGTTATTTTCTTTTTGTCTGAAATACAGTTTTTAGAACATGATCTGTGCTAAACCTCACAAGCAGGTATTAAAAGTGTATGCAGTCAGTATTCATTTAGATTTACCAACATATTTACATTTTGTTATTACTTTATTATCTCTTCCTCCATCTCTGGACTTCAATCTGGAATCGTTTTTCTTGTATCTGGGAATATCCTTATGTAGGGATTGTCTGGTATCATGTTTCAATTTTTATTTTATGGAAACGTCTTTATTTCATCATTATTTTCCAAGATAGTTTTAGTGGTATAGCATTCTAAGTTAGATATTTTATTTCAGCACTCGGAAGGCATGTTTTCATTGTCTTGCTGGCTTCCATTGCTTCTATTCAGAAGTCAGCTGTTGTTCTAGAAACTGTCCCGTCAGAGGTAATCCACATGGCCTTTTCTTTAATGTTTGTCTTTTGCTTTTGGCAGTTTTATTGTTATATTCCTAGATGTGTGTGTGTGTGTGTGTGTGTGTGTGTGTGTGTGTGTGTGTGTGTTTTGAATTTGAAGCTTGGTATATCGTGATTTTTGTATTGCTTCTATCCAGTTCTTTTCCACTTTTCCTCTTGAAATTCAATTACTCAGATATGTAAGTGTCTCATAATATTGCCTATTTTAATTAGAGCCTCCAGTGTGGGGGGGGTGTTACCATATTTTCATGATTCACTTACAGTAGCAGTTTTTGTTTGTTTAGAATTGGCTATTATCAGTTATTTGATGGTTTATAGTGAATAATCTCTTTGTCACTCAAAAAATTTTTTTTCCATCTGCCTGAAGACTGAGGAGCACCCAGTGGTACATGGCCTTCTCAGCTTGCCATCAGGAAGCATTTCTGTAAGGCTTCCTTTCTGGATATGTGCTCTGTTCATCAAATAGCCTACTCTCTGTTACCTAAACTACGTGGGTTTTCATTGCACATTCTCTCTCTTGATGTCAACAGTGTTCTTAGAAAAATTCATCTGTGTGTGGTGTACAGTATGTATTGAAGAAAAGGGAGATTGCAAATAGAAAGGAATGGGAAATGCATAAAGTAGTAAGGAGTACACAAATGTAAACAATGGGATTATTTTAAAATAAAATAATTCATGTTTCTCTTTATTTTTAATACACTCATCTTCAGATCTTGATGAGTTTCAGATTATCTTCCAAATCTGTATATGTTTAAAAGAAGGTATGAAATAGGAATGAAACCATTCTTGTGACTAGCAATAAGATTTTGCAAGTTTATTCTTTATTTAAACATTTTATAATTGTGTTTTTTAAGATTGGCTCATATGAAAAATAGGAATTTTTGACTAGTTGTGATAACAGTTACTCATAAGAGCGATCAATATTTTTCATTAATGTAGACATTTAATATTGATGTACGGCAGTTGCATTGGGCAGAATATATAGAAAACTACTGCATGGGAACTAAGAAATATGTCCTGAATGAAGAAATGTCTGGTCTTCCTGCAGCTAGAAAACATCTGAACAAGTAAGTTTTTCATGGATTTAATTGCTTGTCTTGCTGTGAAATAAGCAATCTCTTTATAAGTTGTCATGGTTTAATGAAAGATACTGTATTGCACTTAGGAAAAGAACTTACCTTTGAACTAGAATGTGGTAGTAATAATTTTAACCTAAGATTGTTAAGACTTACTGCCTTTTAAAATTGTTATTAATCGTTTTATTGAGTGCTCTTAAAGATATTATAACCACCCATAATTCAGTTAGATCAAATGTAATTTTACAATTGCTACCATCAGCAGTTTCAAGACATTTTATTTCTTCTTGAACTCTTTGATATCAGCCCTCCTTTATCCCCTCCCTCCCCCACCCTACCCCCCAGGAGCCCTTATTATTATATATTATTGTTATTATTTGCTATATCTTACACCATCCATTGTACATATTCACCTGCAGTTCGGTTATTCATTCCCCTTGAGTGGGGTTGGGCATACAGTCATCATTGCTATCAGCTCCCCTTTCCCCTCCTCTCTTCCTGTACCCCTACTGTTTCTGAAGAGTTATCTATCTTGGCTTTCAGGCATCAAATGGTCTTAATTATGTAAGTGAACATACACACATCTAGCAAAATTAATGAGGTAAAACAAAGACCATACTAGTAAGGGGAGGAAATATTAGAGAACTAGAGGATAGTTATGTTCTTTTTAGTTTAAAATAGGACTTAAACTGAAGATAATTGAAGTTTTGCTGGCTTTTTTTTTTAACCCTATTCAAGTACATTTTTGGAAAAGGAGAAGAGATACAAACACTGTCATTCCGTGCCAGAATTCTTTGTTTATAAAGGTGGTATTCTATTCCTTTATGAAAGATTATACATTCTGATTATAAAAAATAAATCACTAAATCCATTAGAGTTGCAGATAAATTAAGTAGTAGTTTTTTATTTGTGTAGTGCTCTTTATTCCATTTTTAGAACAGTTTTCCGAACTTTCACATTATCTTTTTCATGTTACACAATTACATAAGGGTTTACAGGGCAACCACGTTTACAGAAGAGGAAACTGAGGTTTAAGAATGTTGTTTTTGTTTAGGTCCTATCATATTAAATGTCAAAATAAGTGAGAATCCTCATCTTTGCTTACTAATTCAAAGATCTCTCTATCTATTGTTTCTACGGAATTTATATAACGGGATTGAGATTTTGAAGATTTGTATGCCTTTCAAGCACCATCCAAAGTGTTTTGAAACGTGAACAAAGTCACTTGTATTTTTTAAGAATGGAAGGTACTCCTTTTATAGAACCACTGCCATGTTTCATGCCTGCATGAGGATTTGTGAGCAAAGGGCAAATGGGCCAATCCTCACCCAGAATTTCAAGGGACATTTGTTTGACTTATAATGTATACGATGTCTTGATTGAATTAATCTGTATACCAAATAAACCATTCTCAAAGACTGAATTCATTGTTAATATAGATGCATCGTAGATTAGTCTGGCTTAAGTTGACGGAAGTCAGCTTTATAACTTAAGAAATTTAGTTTAACTTTCATATAAGGTTCAAATTCATACAGATTTCCACTTTGTCTATATTAAAAACTGAGTAGTATAGCTGCTGTCCAACAATGAAGTATTTTGGAATCGAATTGCCTGACATGTCCCTTCATTTGCTTTCCAGGTTGAGGAACATACGTTATGGTTTCAATACTATCCTTGTGATCCTAATCTGGCGCATTTTTATTGCAAGATCACAAATGGCAAGAAATGTCTGGTACTTTGTGGTTAGTCTGTGCTATAAGTTTCTGTCATACTTCAGAGCCTCCAGCACAATGAGATACTGAAGACAAGAATTTAGCATTAGAACATCTATGCATATGGTGGTCTAAATGCACAAAATGTAAATTTTACTTAAGTCATCTCATCTTTTGTCAAGACATTAAACCATCTTAAAGCAAATGTGGAGTACATTATGGTACATTTTATGTAACATTTTAATGTTTATGCTCATGAAATCCTTGTGAACACACTGTGGTGTGCCAGCTCAAATCTGTAATAACCACCAAAACCATAATTTTTAACACTTTGATCCCTGGGGATAGGGGTGGGGTGAGGGTAGAAGTGGGAAAATAGGAACACTGACCAGTATAACTGTGCAATTCTGGAACAATTCATTGCAATATGCCTTAAACTCATAGTGAATTTCCAATTCTAATATTCAGTGCAATGGAAAGTGTCTTTGGACAGGAATACTTTCTAAGTTGCTACCATTGATTAACCAGTGTTTCATTTTTATTGTAAGTTGAAGTGAGTTTTAATTTTGTTAAAGTTACAGCTGTACGATTTTCACATCATCCTGTTACTGAGTGGTCTCAGATATGGAAGATATGTTATGTTTTTGTGTCTTTGTTTCTTGTTCAAGGTCTGGTGCAGATCGTTTTACTATAAACAGTCTAGTACTTTCATAATCAGAAGGCTGTATTACTCTAAAGCCCATACTGAGTCTAATGTGCTCGACTCAAATCAGCATAAACTGGATTTTTTGAAGGAATGTGACAGCAAATTTAATAAAACTTAGTATTAAAAATAATAGAAATTAAATTTTCTTCTCCACATTATGGTGAAATGAAAATCCTGTGAGAGTTCGTATGTTTTGAAGCAGGAGGATTTCTTGAGCCTTCACTTGAGGAGCAGGAAGGGATTTACCGTACATTTGTGTACTGTCCTTTATAAACTTTCTTCATACAATTTTAAAAAGACTTGTACTGTCTTTCCAATGAAAACTGAAAGTGCATTATTACGGGAGAATGTATTTTCAGGTAGTAATAACTTAAGGAAATGTTCTCATATGTGTAAACACATACTAATTTTTTATCTTAAAGTCAAAATACCTTCACGAAGAAAAAATTAATGTGTATAAAATCAAATAAAGGATTTTATTTACATACCACATGAAGTAGCAAGCTGTGGAATGAGTTTGAAGATACCATCTATTTTTTCTGCATGTGGCTTTAGCTTTCAAAGGAATGCATTATAGAAACAAGAAGATTGGTGTCTATTTTAATGATACATTATGATTCCCTTTAAATTGTAACAGTAGTTAATTCTATTCACTGTTTTAACATACATTTGATTTAACAGATTATTCAGCCTAATATTGTTCTAATTAAGCTGACCAAATTGTACTATATTTAAATCATCAGCAGTATATCTTGAATAAAATTAGGGAGATCAGGTCACAATACAAAAATTACTTAGAACTTTACATCTAAATTATTTTGGCCGATTTAAGTAAATGCAGTGTATAAGAAGTTTATACTTCACAACTATGTTGTGAAAAAACTAAATGTAAAGGAAATCACCTTCTTGCCAGGTGTGTAATCTTGGAAAGCAAAAATGCTTCCATGTTGAAGCCAGATTTTCGGTAGTAAAACTTTTAAACATTTATTTAAAAAGAAAAGTGTATATAAAGTAAAATTAAATACATATATATATTCTTTAAAATGATACTAAAGTCTAGGAGCATACCTCGTATAAGGTGTGTGAGACATGAGAATGTGTAACACGGAATCAGTGATGCTGCCTCTGATTTTACGAAGCCCACACAGTTAGCTGCAGACGCTCTGCCCACTGGTTACTGTTTCTCTGACAATATGGTAACATTTGTATGATTTTTATGCTTCCGCCAAATATACTTTGAATCAATTGAGTTGTATTTGTATGTTGCAACAGAGTCAGGAACAATGTTGGCAGAGTTGTGAAGTATTTAGAGATGTGGGTCTTCTGAACGTTGTACTGTTCTCTGCTTACAGTTCTCTAAAGTGTAACCTTTAAAGAAATATCAAGTGGGAAGATGCTGAGGCTGCTACATTGATTTGTTTGTTTAGACTGTTGTTGCCAAAAGAAAGCTGATGAATAAATTAAATAACTATTCTGGAATTTAAAGTTCTAAAACTACTAGAAAGAATGGAGAATGTTGATCCACATCAAATAGACCTCAAGTTTGACTCAGTATTTTAAGGTTTTGGAAATCCTTTCATTTAGAGCTTTTAGATTTGTATTTGATTATACCTTGACAGACTTTAATGATAGCTTATCACTCAAATACTCTGAGTATTTGAACTCATTTGTTAAAGCTATATTCTAAAAACAATTCCCCCCCACACCAATGCATTTTGAACACTTAAAATCATTGTGATTACATTTAAGTTTGATTTGATACCATTAATGTGTCTTAAACTCAACAAGAAGGATGGCAGTATGTTCTTTTGCTTAAGGGTTATATAAAATAATGTTTTAATATGTGTAAGAAGACTTGAACGCCGGGAGGAAAAAGTCTGATTTATCCCCTTTTTGTATGCTTATTTTCAGGCGCTGGTTGGGGATTTTTTATTTTGCTTTAAATGTAAATGAATAGTCTTTTATAAGAATTAAATAGACGCATTATTGGGTGCCTTTGTAAACCAAAAAGGAATAAATGAATCCCTATATTTCCATTATAATATTTATTGTATTTTTACATTCTGTAAGTTATCTTTGGGATAATGTGGTTAAGATTCTAGGAAGCAGTCTTCACTTCTTGGCTTTTTTTTTTAAGTGGATTCATTAATTTAGTGCCCTAACTTTATTTATTTAATTCAGAATCTCTTAAACAGCATTTTAATGTAAGCAGCATGGAAGCAGGACGAATGCTTTCTGTAAAAGTATGATTTTTACATCTTAGCTGCAATGAGGCAGTTTTCTGTACCCTAGAAACGGCCCCAGGCAACTGCCAGGTGCACTATTGGGCCCCAGCCATCCTTTTCCACGTCGAATGGTGTCACATGAGTTTGCAGGCACATTTCCAATAATTTATCTACCTGTTGGGTCAGGTGCATTAGGGTAAACTGCATTGGGTAAGGTACATTCACTTGTTAGTAATAGAGATGGACCGGATCATTAAAAAAAAAAATTAGGCTGGGATGCCAGTGAATGTTAGTGAATGGCTGGTGCACATGCTCTTTCTTCTAGGCTGACTTGAAGCCCTCACTGAAACCATTAGAACTGAGTTGGACTATGGTAAAAGAGTCTTGCTTTATTTTTTGAAAACTTTCAAACCTTTGTATGAGAAACTGGAAAAAAGGAATATTTTTGTACACTGCATAATTTAATATGGAAATGAGTGAATTAAATGATTAGCCTCTGAAGAAATATGAAATGTTTTCTTACTGAATTTATAATTTTGGCTAGTGATTAAGAATATATGGGGGAGGAGCTTCAAAAATGTGTAGAAAAATGGAATTGAAATATAATAGAATCTTTCCATAAACTTTAAGCACATTTATATGTGCTTTTTTTTTTAATGTCCTTTTTGATGATTGTATTTTCTTGGCATATTTCTCTGTATCCCTAATGCCACTTGTAAGATTTATAAGCAAGGTTGTGCAAAATTGTTCAGTAATTCTTTTTGTTATCTTTACTAAGAAAAAAATGTGAGTACCATTAAGTTCGATGTGGTACTTTACAAGTTAATGGCTCTAAAATACTTTTAATTTTTTTTTTTAAAAGTAAAGCCTGAAGTTTAATGTCTTTACTGTGAGCCTCACCTCAGAACTATAAGACAAATTGCCCGTTTTGGGGAACTGGGTGTGGGATAGAAGGGACTGATATTACAGATAATACTTATAATACCTGTACTTTTACACAGGGGAAGAAAGGCAATCACGATTTTAAAATTTTTATCAAACTGTTAAAACAGTCGTAGTTATTATTTACCTTGAGTCTCTTCTAGATACTTTAATTTATATTTTCTCTTACAACTACCTAAAGTTGAATTTGGTTTCTTTTAAAGAATTCCTTAACTTTCTGCCCTTAAACAGAAAACCTAGTGATCTGTCTCATGGGTGTGCATCTGAGACACACACAAACACACACAATTTCTCACACTCACACCCTAGGGTGAGTGTGTGTTCATTTTGCTAGGTGCCATCTAGTCAGTTTGGGCTCGTGGTGATCCCTTGTACAACAGAATGAAACACTGCCTGCTCCTGGGCCATCTGCACATTCATTGTCATGTGCGAGTCCATTACTGCAACCACTGTCAGACCGTTCTGTGGAGGCTCTTCCTTTTTTTCACCGACTCTACGAAGCATGATGCGTCCTTCCCAGAGGCTGGACCCTTCTGATACACGTCCAAGGGAGGAGAGAGAAAAGCCTCACACTCTTCGCCTATAATTCTGTATTGTATATAAGACTATATTTCTTCCATGAGAGATTTGTTCTTCTGGCCACTCATGGTATACTCAAATTCTTTTGCCAACACGATAATTCAAATTCATCAGTTCTTTTTTAGTCTTTTATTCATTCTCCACATTTTACATGCCTATGAAGCAGTTGAAAACACTATGGCTTGGGCTGTGATAGTGAGGGGAAAGCCCAAAGGATGGGCGCTTGACTGGCTGTTTTCTCAGCATCTCCGGCATTGTGGTAGCGGTCTGGTCCCCGTGGAGAAGGATCTAGGTAGAGCTCAGCGTTACAGGGTCAGAAATAACCAGCTCAGTCTACCAAAATGGGAACCGTCTCTGGGAGTTTGTTCTCTATAAACTCATAATTGATTTATAAACAAGTATGCCAGTGTAGCATTACACTGGGAATTAAATGAGAAACAATACTAAAGGACTGGGATTACTTCATAGTGGAGATGGGGCAAACGCTTCAGGTGGTAGACACCAGAGAAACTGGTAGTCACATAAATACATTTACCAAGTAAGCCCGAAGCTTAACAAATGAACAATTTCAAGTGCCATAGCAATCTTTAGATTGTTCTCTGCTCACAAGAGAAAACTTCTATCTCAATATCTGGAACTGAAAACTGAGAATTCATTGACTCTGACCTGTTACTGGAAGAAAGATACATTTTTTGCCTTTGGTATTTGGGCTGCCAATTACAAGGTTGATGGTTCAAATTCCAGCTGCTCTGTGGGAGAAAGATGAGGCTGCTCCCATAAAGATTTACAGCCTCAGGTTCTATGACTTGAGGGCAATGGGTTTTTGTTTCTGGAAGTTATTTTAAAACAAACTCTTTGGTTCAAAAATTGTTAGGTTCACTGCAGAAAACTTGAAATATGAAAGAATAAGATGTGAAAAGCTAGATTGCATTAACTGTACTGTGTATAAACCTTTATATTTTGTCTTAGCCACTATTAAAAAACAAGATCTATTATTCTATTAGATTGAACTTGCTTGTTTACTTTATCCTCCATTAGATTGTGAACTTCCATTGGAGGCAGGACATATGTATTTCTTAAGGTATTTGGCACATACAAGCTACTTAAAAGTTTCAGTTTATTTGAGAGAACAAAGTTCAGCCATCCCGTCATCAGTTATACACTGAACTGTTATGCTTCCTATTATGTATACATTTTACCTTTTATAAGCAAGACATTTGACAAAGGACTATTTAAGTTTACACATTGTCTTAGTTATTTAGTGCTATTATAGCAAATGCCACAAACATAAATCTATTCTGTCACAGTTGAGGCTGAAAATGAATTCAGAGCACTGACTCCAGGGGCAGTCCCTTCCTCTCATTGGCTTTCAGGGAAGGTCCTTGTCTCTCAGTGACTTTGGGTCCAGTGTTCTCTAGAGATACCCATGTTTCTTGGCATCAATCCTCCCGTGGGTTCAGGAGGTTCTCAGCCCAGGGGACACCCCAGGTCCAAGCTCCTTCCTTGAGGGCACTAAGGGCCTTTTTCTGCTGGTACTTCTCCCAACTTTTATTTCTTTTCAGATAGAGGTGATGCAGGCCACCCTTCATTGGAACTCCCTTTACCTGGGATCATTGCTATGACCCACCTTCCTCCCCTTGTAACTGACAGCTGATCCAATTTAGATGGCATCATGTGAGACGACTACATCGTTACATGATTGTCAAACCACTGAGTTGACCCAGCCAGGTTACACATTATTTTGAGGATACTGAAAGTGTTACATCAGCATAGAAGTCCAAATTCCACCCTGACTCTGAAAATTCCTCTTCATCTGTGAACGTGTAAACTAGAATACAAGTTATCTGCTTCCTAAGTACTATGGTGGGAAAGGCAAAAAGCATTTACATTACAAATGGAAGGCATCCAAGGGAATGATGGGGGCACCAAGTAAATAAATAATAATAAAACAGACCATTTGCAGTAGCTCTCATGACTTGGAAATACCCTCTTCTCTGAGGACACATGGCCTGCTCTCCCGACTGAACATTGGCCATGATTTCTTAATCTGGGTGGAGGGCCCTCTGCTTTGGGAATCTATTCTCCTAGTCCAACTGAGGGGGACTCTACCCTTTTACTCCCCCTTGTCCCTATCTGTTCCTTGGGCATGGTGACCCTGCCCCCTCAACTTTGCATAGCAGATTCTGCCCCGCTTTGTACTGGCACTCCTGAGGGACAGCCCCGAACTCTGGAATGGAGTTGGGAAATATCTGACATGTAGAAGGCTGTAGCCCCACCTGTTAGATGCCAGTAGTCCATGGTCCTGTGATTTGAGACCCCAGAGGTCTTAGTACTACCCCGGAGACAGGCAGCTCTGCTCCTTGTTTCTGCAGCTGTTGCCTTAGCCTCTCAGACCAGCTGGGCCTCTGCCTTGCTCAGGCAAGTGCCCTCACCCTGTCTTGACTTGAATTTCCAGGAAGGTTCACATCTCTATTGTAGGAGTGTGTTGATTTGATTGTAAACTTGACTGAAAACTAGCCTTTGTTCTTTATTAGTAAGAGCTTCAAGGTGGTGTCCTCTGTCTCAGGTTATTGTGCCTTGCCTAATCTGATGCCACGATCTTCGTATAGGCCAGCTTCTTGGATTATTTGCTTAGTATCCAGATTGAATTAAGTATGGTGAACGGATACAATCTTCACATCCCCTTCTTGATATTAAAGCATGCAATATCCCCACGTTGTGTTGGAATGACTCCTTCATAGTCTGTGTACAGGTACCCCCTGAGCACACAAGTAGTCTGGATTTCCCATTGTTTGCAGTGTTATCCATAATTAGGATCCACACAGCCAAATGCCTTTACATAGTCAACAAAATACAACAGAACCTCCTCCTGGTGCATTCTGCTTTCAGCCCAAACCCTCTGCTATCAGCAATGATAGCCCTCATTGGACGTCCTCTCCTGAACCTAGCTTGAATTTTGGGAGCGCCCTCTTGATATCCTAGGGGAAGTACAACCAAAATGCTCCTTGGAAGTGAGGGTGGTGAGACGTCTCACCTCCTTTTAGACGTGTTAGCGGGAGCTAACAGCTAGAAAAGGGCGCCAGTCTCAGGAAAGCGGAGGGCCAGGGAAAGAAGAGGTGCAGACACAGTCTGGTCTGCTACTACAAAGAGGGTTGCTATGAGTTGGGACACAACCACCACCCTGTTGATCTATTGCTGCAACCATGTTCGCATGATCTTAAGCAACATTTTGCGCGTGTGTGATATTATTGATATCTACATGCTGCTCCGTCACTTCTCTGTGGAATGGGCACAGACACGGATCTCGTTGGTTGCCTGACAGCTCACTTCCAAACCCTGGGCAGAGTGTACTGAACACTTCCAGCATTGCATCGGGTTTTGAAACATTTCGAATTTTGCTTCTTCAGCCCCTGGAGCCTTCTTTTTCACTAGTCTTCATTGCATCGAGGACCTCCTTCAATGCCACCTCTTCCTGCGTCCTCGGTTTTGTCTTGACTGTGTAACTTTCTATCTATATGCTGCTGCTTTACATGGTAAAGGTCAACGTTCTCTTTGGCACAGTGACGGTGTTTTTCTTCCATCCTCTTTTGATCTTTCTTGATTCAATATTTTGACCATAGAATCTTTCAACATTGCAAACCTAGTCTTGATTCACTTTTATTTTCGTTCTTTTAGCGTGAGATATGCTGGGCATGTTCTTCCCTTTTGGTTATCTAACTCTGGGTATTTGAAAATTCATTGTAATGTATGTTTACCTTGTCTTCTCTATCTACTCTTTGAGATGTTCTGTTTAGCTCTTTTACGTCACCATTTCTTCCATGTGCTTCAGCTATATTCAAGCGTAAGGTTCAGTATTTCATCTCACATCCACTTTGGTTTCTTCTTTCATCCCTGTCTTTTTAATAATCTTTTAAAGCTTCCTATATTATGGTCTTGATGTCATCTCACAACTCATCTGGTCTTTGGTCATTCGTGTTCAATGTATAAAATACATACTTGAGAGGGTCTCTAGATTCAGGTGAGATGTATTCAAGGTTATCCTTTGGGTCTCAAGAATTTATCTTAATTTTCTCCAGCTTCACCCTAAACTTGCATTTGAGCAATTGATGGTCTGTTCTACAGTAAGCCCCTGGCCTTGTTATGGCTAATAATCTTGAGCTTCTCCATGGTCTTTTCCCACAAATGTCGTCAGTTTGATTCCTGTGTATTCCAGCTGGCGAGTTATATGTATATGGTCACTGTTTATGGTGTTGAAAAAAAAAAAAGGTATTTGCTAAGAAATCATTGGTCTTGCATATTCCTATCTTGTGATCTCTGGCTTTGTTTCTGTCACCAAGGCCACATTTCCTTCCTCTTTGTTTTCAACTTTTGCGTTCTAATTACGAATAATTTTCAGTGTATCTTGGTGGCATGTTTGATCAATTTTGGACTTAAGAAATTGGTGGACTTAAATTTCTTCATCCTTTGCTTTAGTGTTGGTGTGTAAATTTGGGTAAAAATTGCATTACCTGGACTTTTGTGTAGGCATGTAGATAGTATCCTGTAACTTACGGTACTATACTTCAAGATAGCTCTTGAGATGTTCATTTTGATGATGAATGCAGTGCTGTCATTCCTCTGGAGTTTATCATTCTGTGATAGGAAACCCTGACTGTCAACTCAAAATGGCCAACATCAGTCCATTTCACCTCAGTAATGCTTAGGTCATTGCTATTATATTCCATTTTTGACAGCTTCCAATTTTCCTAGATTCATACTTCATACAATTCATGTTCCAATTATTAATGGGTGTTTGCAGCTGTTTCTTCTCATTTTAAGCCATGCCTCATCAGCAAATGAAGGTCCTGAAAGATTTTCTCCATTTACACCACATGCACTTCAGACCAGTTAACCTGCTCTCGTTTTTCTCTAGTCCCTGTGAACCAGATCCACGGGTGTCAGTGGCCAGACGCAACCTGTCTCTTTATTGCTGCGTTTCTCCCACTTCCACTCAACAGTGGATCCAGGTGGTCACCTAGCAAGCATTTAAGCTTGCCCAGAATTCCTTTTTTCCCTCCTTCAGTTTGTCAACAGCGAGACAAATCTCTTCACCTTCAAATGTCCTGAGCACTCCAGACACTGGGTGGGGCTTAGTTCTTCAGAGCCTTCTTTGTAGGGGTGTCCTAACCCATTTAAATTCAAATTGCCTGAAGGCAAGTGGGCTTACAAACTCTCTATTTTCATACTTCCCAGTAGTCATTTCTATCAATCTTTATGTCAATAACAACAGGCAGAAGAAAACAGTATAAACCTAGTAGAGCCAAATCCTAAACTCAATTTAAAAACAATCAAATTCTATCCTTATCTAAACTTATCCCATATGGCCTTAGGCCTTTAGCTGCATTGCCTCAAGCCAGGGCAGGACCTTCTGTCAGTCATTTTGACCTCAGCATTTTCACTTAGCACTGTGGTCTCAGAGAAGTTCAAGAGATGATTTTGCCACCCAAGCTCAAGATTCACATTTATCACAATCATTTTCACCACTTCAGGCAGGATTAACCAAAGACAATTTCTAGGAATCAAAACTTTAAATCCCATACTCTTTCCAGAAAACCCAGTAAACTGCATGGCTATATCTGACCTCTGGCTAGCCAAAGAAACTACCAGGAGACAGAGGTCAAACAAACATCCACTCCCCATCTTTACAATTTGTTTTTCTAGTACCCCATTCCTGGTACCTTAATGAGAAATTTATAGCCACTCATGTATATAAGGAAGAGCTGTATATAAAAGAGTAATTGTATAATAAAACATCCCCGTCAAGATTAGGTCCATAAGTCTGATATTAGCCCAGTCTGTAAATTCCTCTTCAGACTCACACAACACGTGCAATAATGCTGAGTGCAGGAAGATCACAGGCCAGCGGGTGGAAAGTCTTGTGGATCCAGTGGTGGTGGAAGCATCTTAGTGCTGTGTGGTGGTGGAAGCATCATAGTGCTGGTGTGGGTCTGCATGTGGCTC